TCCAATATTCATGTTAGGGGCCTGCCTATAGTTCGACGTGATGCAAATAACTCCTCTAAGGTTATGCAACAGATGACGTACAGTATAACCTCGATATAACGAACCTCTGGAGCTGGGGTGTTTTGTTCGATATATCAAGGTTTCGATCTATTGAGGTACCTTGCTATAACGAATCTATATAGTCATCTGTACCTTGCTATAATGAATTTATGGGTTTAAGTTTAAAAAAAGTAACTTTTGATATGAAAAACCTTTGATGATATAAGTCTCGATATACTCTAAGAAAGATTTTGGTCAGACCCAGCGACATTCTTATATCAAGAGTAAATTGCATATATAAACTTATTATAAAACAATATGCCAATTAAACTTTTTAAATATTAAAATTTTATGCTTTTAATATTTTTAAGAGCATATATAAATTATTATAAATATCAATTTTATTACATACTGTACATGTAAAAAGATATAAAATTGAACATTAATACTAACACGAATATAAATGTAATTTTACATGATCTCATATATATGTGCATTTATTGCACTGTTAAATAGCCTTTCAATGCGCAATGTATATAATTTGAACACAAAAAAAAAACATAAAAAACTATAATTTAACGCCTAAATTAATAAATGCGAACATAAATGTATAAATTAGTTATCTCTAATAGCGTATAAATTAAATCACAAGTGAAAATATACCGTATTAAGAAATTTCAAAATCAATAGTTTCATCTTTGCCCATCAAAATTTCCAATCCCAAATTGGATGATGGTAAACCTGGTAAGCGTTTCACCTAAACAAATTAGAGTTATCATTCAACACATATTTAATCGCTAAAAATCCAATACAGTCAGGCCTTCATGAATGTACACATTATATAAATTCTCTCAGAATGCATAATATAACTTTGTCCCTTCTCATAAAAGTTCTGTACATTTTGCTCTCTATAAATGCGCACTTCTCCAAATGCATATTTCAATTTTTTTTTACTACGGTCCCAGGAGGGTGCATTTACGGAGATCTGACTGTACATAATATATACCAATTTACCTTAGACACAATGCTTTGTTCTATCATATGTCTTAACGGAGCGTGAATGCCATAGATTCTTCTTTGTAAAGTAAGTTTAAGATTCATTTGTGTTTCTTCCCACTGTAAAATATAGAATTGAATTATTAGTCTATATTAACTAAATTTTTTAAAAACATTAAA